CGGTGCAGGCCCCCTCGGTCTGCCGCTGCCTCGCTCGGCGCGGGTCCTGGGGGTCAAGGCCCCACTTCTTAATATCATTACTTGGAGGTTAGAATTTCAACAAGTGAATTTTAGGGGACAGAAAACATTCAAGCCACAGCAAACTACAATATTAACTCCTTTCAGTGTGAATGAAGCAATATTTTCTTTTATCACAGAGTGGTGTGGCAGGGTGTTAAACTAATCCAGACATTAAAATATTTTTTCTCCATTTACTATTTCGTTTTAATTTCTTATTTATCCTACTTGCTCTTATTTTAGGGAACTTAAATTCAAATTAATAGCTGATAACTTCTGGGGCCGGCAGATGGTGTGGTGGTTAAAGATACTGGACTCCCACATGGCAGACAGCGGTTTGAGTCTCGGACCTGCTGGCTTGATTTTTCACTCTCTCTCTGTCTTTCTCTGGTCAAATTAAGTAATAGTTATAATAATAATAATAATGATAAATAAAATTAAATAAATAATTCTTTTTTAAAAAGTAACAGTTCTCGGGGAACCAGCAATTAGCGTAATGGCTATGTCACTGGACTCCCACATAGTCAACCGCGGTTCACATCCCGGACCCGGTGGCTTAAAACTCATGCCAGCCATGTGTGTGTGTGTGCCCAAGATCCCAGGAGGAGAATGGAGGAGAAGGGATTGTGGCGTGACCATCCCCCCCTGGGGGGTGATTTCTCGCTTTCTGTCTCTCTGTCTCTGTCTGGCGAGCGCACGCGGCCTATAGCAAAAACCTCTCCAAAAAAAAAAAAAAGTAACATTTCCTCTTTCTCAATATTAGGAAATACACGAAAAGTTTTATCAAGTTAGTGGGCTGGAGAAGAAAAAAAATCAATTAAAAAAAGGTGGACAGTTTGAAATACATGACAAATATAAAAAACTGCAAAATGACTGTAATATAAATAAAGGAGAAGATTTCAAGGAATAGTTAATATCAAGAAGAGTAAAAAATAAGAAACATACTACATAACTATTATTTTCCAACATAACTTATTGATTTATTCCTTCTGCTTTTTAATTGGAATGACCCTTCCCCATCAGGCCATTTTATCTCACTTCCTTTGAAACTTAATTTATTTGGGTCTACCTGACCATGTTATAGATTAAATAATATGAAATTACATTTTTATAGGTTAAGAAATGGTCACATATTGGTAATTACCTATAGTTCAGTCTGGGTCATCCCTTGACTTTATATGCCATCAGCATAGATGTATAGACATTTTACAATTAAAAAAAAAAAGACGCATTAGGTTACACTACTTGTTAGTAACGAGGCTAATATTTTAACTTTGCTATACCTAATTTCAAAGCTTGTATTATTTTTACTGAACTAGTAAATTAATATTTGTTAAATGGAATATAGACACAAAGAACAGTGCCCCATCCGCAGAGTATTCAGTAACAAACTATTAAACAGATAAATGAATAAATATGTGTTTAACCAAATCACAAATGAACATTTTGTTCTTTTATGATTGTTAAAATAAAAAAAAAGACAAGCTATAAAAAAGACAATATAAAGCACATGAGGAAGTAAAGAAGTAGTTTCCTATTTTTTACTTGATGTGTGTGTGCGTGTGTGTGTGTGTATTATTAAAATTCTTTATTTACGTATGTGCTTATTTTTTCAAACCACATTCTCTAACCCTTGCTAGATTCAGGGCCAGCTTCAAAGATATGCAACCATTTGAGTCACATAGTACCTTGTACTTATTTAATCCTCTGCTGTGGCCATGTTGTCATTCTTTTGTTCTTTTAAATTGCCACAGGGTGCATGTGCAGAGAGAAAATATTTCCCAGTGGGGCATGGTCATGCTGCAATCTTTTATTTCAATTTCTACATCCCTCTTGGGACCAGCAGATGGCATAATAGTTACCCAGCGTGTTTTTTAAGCCACCAGGGCCATGATTTGAGCCATGGTTCACCATGTGGGGTATGACTCCTAATGCATTAGGCTTAACTCCTGCATCATAAGGTCGGCCCTTGATATATTTAAAAAGTAATTTTTAAAAAACTCAGAACACTTTAACAATTGATCAATTTCTGCTTTCATACTTTGTTTTATAAATCATGTAACTCTGTTGGTGACCTCATGGTATGCTACATTTGCTCTAAGGTGGATTTATTACTGGATATAACAAGAAGGATTTAATTATAGCAATTTAATACATTACACAGATCCCAGGTACGATTCTTTTAAGAGAACATAAAGTAGCAGTGTGTTCATTTTTCAAGGCAAGTGTTCTCTAGAAAAGTGCTTGAAAAAACCTGTAGTTGTTGGTCTCCAAACCCTAAAATGAAGCCCTCATTCTGTAGTAAGAGTAAATTTAGGTAAAAATTACCCACAAAACTACTAGTTACGGTCCCTGTAAAAACCAGATACAGTGACTGTAACCATAAGTCATAGACTTCCTGATGCCATTTCTGGCCAGATTAAAGAGGACACCTAAATTTCAATTCACTCCTGCCTGATGGCTGGGGTGAGGGGATTCATGTTACTTTAAAATCACCATTAGCTGGAAACTGGGGACTAAAAAAAGAATTGTCCTGGAGTGGAAATCCTATAAACTGAGAAAAGATGTGTCTACTATCATATATAATATCATTGCATTTGTTTTTAAGGGCCCACCTGGTATGGCAGGTATCCCAGGTCCACCAGGAAAGAGAGGTCCACGGGTAAGTAGCTGGACTCCATTTCTTTCTGGCTGTTAGAATTAGTAACTTTCCAATATGTTCTTTCTTGAATTGTACAGTATGTACTTCCTTTGGAATCCTGCCTGGATTTTCAAACTTAGCTCTCCCTACCTTTGCCAATTCAAGAGCAACTTAAGAACACGTGCAGCCTTGTTTATATGAGTGTAAACACCCTGCCAAAGCACACTGTGAACAAGTCCAAGAAAGATTATCAAATCTGTAGATTAGCAGTTGTTCTGGTGCTACTTGTAACATTATTCTTAGTTATAAAGTGATCTCAATTGTTTAAGGTAAGGATCATTTGTTTTGGGAAATGAAGAGGAGTGGGCTGCCTTAAAAGAGTGCGTTCCTGGATTACATAGTGGAAAATACTGGAGCTATAGACTAGGAAAAAAGATTGCTTTGAGGAAAAAAATCTGCCTTAAGGATCAGCAGTAGTTTCTCACATTACATAAGTCCAATGAAAGATTTATTGCTAAAAGAATAAGTTTCTTTCAAACCTTAAAAAAAAGTGAACTTTTACTAGTTTTTCTTCAATGAACTAGAAAAACTGTGTGCTCTAAAGGCAAATGCAAATATACCTTTTAAATAATCCAGTTTCTTTTTAAGCTGATTTTTATTTACCCTATAACAAATAAAAAATCATCCTAATATATTACTCCAAGATGTTCAAATTCATACCAAAGTTTTGTCCTTCTGAATCCTAAGATATATTATAACTGGGCTATGTTATTTAGCACTTAAAATAAAAATCCTCGGGACCAGCAGTTTGCATAATGGCGATGTTGCTGAACTCCCATGTAGTCGACCATGGTTTGAGTCCCGAACCCAGTGGCTTAAATTCACGCTGGATGGATGTGCGTGCGTGCCCAAAATCCCGAGAGGAGAATGGAGGAGAAGGGATTGCGGCATGGCTATGCCCCCTGGGGGGGTGATTTCTCACTTTCTGTCTCTCTGTCTCTGTCTTTCTGGCGAGCGCATGTGTCTTATAGCCAAAAAAAAAAAAAAGTCCTCTTGTTGGCCCTGTAGCGTAGGGGTTAGGAGAGCTGGAGCACACATGGCTGACCACAGTTTGAATCCTTGCCCTAGTGGTTTGAAAAGGAGGCCAGGCACATGTGCGAGTGTGCCCCAAATCCCTTCAGGGTGGAAAAATGGAGAAGAGACTGCCATGTGACCAAACCACATAGAGGAGCTCCCCTTCCTCACACTTCTATCCACACTGCTTCCTCTGTCTTTCTCTGATTAGTGCCATGTGTTCTCTCACCATTACAAATTTCTGTCTAGTTGATGACCTATCACATTCCTCCCACAGTCCCATTTAAACCTTGCTCATTCTTCTCTAGCCCTCAAACAATTCCCATTTTCCTATAGCTTGGTGAGGGGACCTTGGTTGCTTCTTTTCTGAGGGATTGGATCCATCTTTGCACTAATTCTTCTTTTTAATTTTATTTTTTTCTTTATTACATGAGAGAGGGATACAGAGAGAGAGAGATAGAGAGAGGCACCACCAATAAGGCCCACATGCTGTTATCCCACCCCCAGCCTCAGCTGGCGAGAACTTCAGGGAGACCTTCAGACATGAACCTCAGGCCTTCCCATATGGCTTCAGTGCTTCAGTACTACTGGTGGGTGAGGGGATTTATGTTACTTCAAAATGATCAGTACTGCTGTGCCACTGTGGCTGTCCCATCTTGGCATACTTCCATCCTCTCTCCACTGCTAAGGCTATTCTCCCAGAGCATGACTTTCAGGTTCTGAATCTCCATCTAGTCTCCTGACACAGAAGTTTTCTTCTCTAATTTCCTTTTTTTAAATGTATTTGTCCAAACTTCCCTCTTTAAGTGAAAAACAGTAGCCATCTTCTCAAGGTGAATTATTTCATTTATATTTCTTACTTTATTACCTTCAATCAATTACAATTACTAATTTAGAAGTGGCAACTTCACAATTATTTTCTCCCTAAGTTTTATCCCTCTTGATGACAACCAGTAAGTTATTTCTTTTTTTAAAAAAACCCAAACTTTCATTGATATGAATTTTTCCTGTTGTACTACTGAGTTATACAAAATAATAGTTTGTACTTGATGCCCTTACTACTACAACGCATTCATTAACTCCATAACTTTTTCCATTTACTTTATTAAAATTTACTTCTTTAAAATCTTACTTTAAAAATATCTTTAAGAATTATTTTATTTAACTTTATTTGTTATTATTATCATTATTATATTCCAGTTTGATCAGAGAGAGAGAAAGTGAGAAAACAAGCCACCTGGTCTGAGACCTGAACCGCAGTTGGCCATGTGGGAGTCCAGTGCCCCCAACCACCATGCCATTTGCCGGCCCCTTAAGAATTATTTTTTTAACTTTATTTATTTATTTTTAATTTGACCACAGAGGGACAGAGTGAGGGAGAAAAAGGGAAAGTGAGAAAGCAAGTCGCCAAGTCTAGGACTCGAACCATGGTTGGCCATGCAGGAGTTCAGCACCCTTAACCACCATGCCACCTGCCAGCTCCATACAAGTTCCTTTTTCTTAATTGCCAGAGGGTACATGTGCTCCCAAGAGTAAGAGGGAAAGAAAGGAGGAATAAACAAAGCAGCCTAATGGGGCATGGTTACACCACAGTCCCTTTTCCATCCCAGGATTTGGGGTACGCGCACACATGCACATGCCTGCCATGGATTCTGAACTGTGGTGGGCCATGTGGGGTCCAGCTCTCAATGCACAGTGCTGAACCACTGTGCTACAGCGTCAGCCCTGTTTCTGGACTTTTTATTGGGTCAGCCAGGTGGCATAGAGGCATGGTGGCTAAGGCAGCTGGACCCTACATGGCCACTTGGGTGGTTTGAGTCCTGGCTCTGGTAGCTTGAAAAATATGCCAAGCACATGTGCATGGCTGCGTAAAAATCCCAAGAGGAAAATGGAGGAAAAAAAAGGGACTGGGGTGTGGGGAAAGAGAACTCATTCCCCAGTGGGTCATTCTCATGCATAAATTCCCTTCCCTCCATTTCTCCATCTCTTCAGGATTTGAAGCACACATTCACAGGTGCTCAATGTGTTTTTCAACCTGCTGGCTAAGATTCAAACTGCAGGGTCAGCCATGTGGTTTCTGGCTTCAAATAGACAGTGCTTAACCACTGGGCTACCAGGCCAGCCCCAAATTTATTTTTAAAACTTATTTTTCCTTTCTAATGTATTAAAAAAATTTACTTTTTCGTTTATTAACATTTAAAACGTTAACAATAACATCTGTCATGAAATCTGATCTTTTTTCCTTAGTTTTGATCTTGCTAGAACTATCTTGAATATTTACATTGCTCATACACCTATATTTTTTCTGAAACACTCAACTAGTAATAATTCAAAATTGAAGAGACAGGCAAATACATAATTATTATGTTATGTGTTAAAATGAAGGTGTAGCTAAAGAGCATAGAGGTGGGGTACAAAACACAAATAAGAAGAGGCAGGCTAGAGACCTCCAGAAGGCTTTCTGGAGAAGGTCATCTTCAGTTTCTCCATTTACAGTTGTATGAACTGGAAGTTTCTTCATTTGTAAATAGAAGTAAGAATAATCAGTCAACTTGCAGGGCTGTTACAAGGATAATTTATGGAAATATAAAGAATTAGCATAGTTCCTGGCACATAGGAAGTACTCAGTAAATAGAATCAATTTTGAATTCAGGTTGTGTAGTTTACCAGGGACACGAAATCAAATTGACATTCATTGAGTAACTAATATATACTAAGCACTAGGCAAGTAATAAAATGTTTCTTTTCAAAGAGTTTATAATCCTAGAACCAAATGACATATGTCATAAAAGAGTTAAAATAGCAGTAAAGTATTTAAATAATAGGTTATCACAGAATAAGAAATATTGCAACCCTATATCCAATCAATCAAGTGAATTTTACATGTAGTCACTTCTGTAGAAATTAAAAGAGAGCAATTCCTCACATGGCCAGGATTTTAAAATAAAGTGACATCTCAGGGCAGACTTGAATGATTTTACTAGGTATGGGGACAAGTTTGTAAGGTGTACCTAATAGCATAAGCAAAACTTCAAGTGCAGAAAGGGATAATACCTGAAAGAAAAGTAAATGACTGCACTTTTTAATTTTTAGGCTTCTTACGTCACACAGATTTTAGAAGTAGCATTAAACAACATACTGTGACTAGATATAGCGTGCTAGGTAGGGAAGCAGACACCCTGAAGCAATGTGTTGAGGCAAAACATGAAAACTACAGTTCTATTTTATTAACTAGTATAGCTATCCTTTCTAAGAGTAAATTACCTAAGATCTCAGAAAAGATTTTTAAAAATTGAAGGCAGCATTTTTAAGGAAATTTTATTATGTAGTATTTACTTGAATGTTACAATCAACACTGTCATTTGACTTTGGATCCAAGAATGATCTGACTTTTTCACTACTTGCAGGGCATACCAGGGCCACATGGAAATCCTGGGTTACCTGGATTACCAGGTCCAAAGGTGAGTGATTTTCCATGAATATCATATGATTTCTTGAAACTTGAAAAGAAGGCCTTTAACTTTTAATCCGGTCTCGGGACATCAAGCGTCTCTGTCATAGCCAGAGCATGATTCTTCAACAGGATTCTGTCAGACTGGCAGAGAACTAGGTTCCTCCAAAAGCCCAGTGCACTTGGATTTCTACAGTGATAATGTCAGGCACGGGCCTGCTTTGGTATTCCAAAATCATCATTTTTTTAAAAATTTCTATAGGACACATGCACTTGCCAGAGAAAGAGAAAAGAGAGAGAGAGAGAGAAAGAGAGAAATCATCCACCAATGATGTGACAATCCATTCTCCTTCATTCTCCTCTCAGGATTTTGGGCATACATGCACTCCACATGCTTAGGTTCAAGCTGCCAGGTCCAGGACTTGAACCATGAAGTTGGCCATGAGGAATCCAGCCCCCTTAACTGCCATGGCAACAACTGGCCAAGTTTTCCAAAATTTTTACTGACAAATTATAATGGCAATGTATGAAACCTCTTAAATATACAGATACTTTGAATAATTTACCTTAAATTAGGGCCATTTTAATTTGTAAACACAGAGGAAAGAAATGTTTATATCCCTGTTCCCTACTTTCCTAATATTTTCACTTGGAAAAAAAATTATAAGAATGTTGATTAAATTATCAAATTTTAATGAAAACCTGAAAAATATGTGTGTATGTGCACATTTATATGTATTTGTCTATATCTATAAATATATATATATGCACATGAGCATATGTAGCTATATGATATACACACACACACACACACACACACGAGCTTACATAGTTGTATGATAGTTAATCATGCAATTAGATAGTATGAGCATAGAAAAATCTATGAAAGAATACATACTGGACTGGTTACTCAGAAACAGAGTATGAAAATAGAGAGATCACTAAATTTTATATATATTGGGTTGTTAGAAAAGTCATGACACCTTTTTGCATAGAAAAAAGGTGTCATGACTTTTCTGACAACCAAATACATATATGTAATAAAATTTGGAAAGTTCAAGATCAAAGGGCTGGCAAGTTTGTTGTCTGCTGAGGGCTCACTTCTGGTTCACAGAGAGCATCTTCTCACTGTGTCCATAATGAGCAGGACTAGCTAGCTCTTTGGGGTCTGTTTTTTAAGGGCACTAATCCCAATCATAAACGCTCTACCCTCATGATCTAATCACTTCCAAAATTTTCCTCATACCACCACCTTGGGGTTTAGGATTTCAACATACAAACTTGGGAGGGGGGAAACAAACATTCATACCATATTATCTTACTGTTACAATGACCAATAATTTAATAAAGAAATTAAGTGAATCTATTCAGATTGCTATAACAAAAATACCACAGACAACATCATTTATAAATAACAGAATTTTTTAAAAAGTTTTTATCATAGTGCACATGTACTTGCCAGAGAGACACATTAAGAGGGAAATTGAGAAATCACCCCCTAAAAGTATGGCTATGCCACAATCCCTTCTCCTCCACAATTTTGGACATGCACATACACAAGCCTGGTGTGATAGTCAGGCCTCCAGGCCCAGGACTTGAACCATGGTTTGCACCTTGGATCCCACATGGCCAACAACATGGTTTGAGTTCTGGACCCAAGAGCTTGAGAAACACACCAGGTACATGTGCTTGTGTGCCTGTCCAACTTCCAGAAAGGAAGGAGAGATGAACGAGAAAGGATTGTAGCATGACCTTCCTCCATTGGGAGTGCTTTCTATCTTTCTCTCTCATCTCCTTGGTAAGTGGATGTGCCCTCTGGCAACAGTTAACAAAATAAATGTTTCAAAATTAAAAATGGCCTTGTCTTTTTATAGAATTGAACCTCAGGGTAACTACTGGATCACGTTGGAAAAGTCATAACTTTTTTTCTATGCAAAAATGCATATGACTTTTCTGGTGACCCAATAAATAGCTGATGAAGAGAAGTAATCTATAATAAAAGATAATAAAGAAAAAATGCTAGAATTAAAAATCACTATTTGTCATTGGCTTTCAGTAGTTTGACTATGGTTATATTGGAATGGTTTCCTTTAGATATTTCTGGTTTGGCATTCACTAAGCATCTTGGACCAATTAATATAAGATGTTGATTTCCAACAAATTTGGGAGACTTCTGACCATTATTTTAGAGAGAGAGAGAGAGACAGACAGACAGACAGACAGACAGAGTAAGTGAGGTCTGTTTCTTTCTGCTTGAATTCCAGCTACTCCTCGCAGACTGGGAGTGTACTTAGGACTAAAGCTGTATAATAGCTGAACCAAGTGTGGTTCTCTTCTTTCAAGGTTTGACTTTCCTTCCCCCAGTGTATCCTGTTTTTGATTTTGTTGCTCCTTTAATAATTCACTAAAGAGTTGTGTTTTCTGCTTTCTAAGATGGCAATAATTATAAAAACTGACTTTAATAATGATTGTTTTCAGTCCTATGTAAATGATTCTTTTATGTATTGTCCTGGGCTTGTAATTGTTATCTATAGGTAAATAAATAAATATTTTATTTAATAGGCACTGTGATATAAGAAAACAAGTTGACCTAGTTTCCCAATACTTTTCTAAGCAATCTTAAATAAGTCAATTAATCTTTCTGGACCTCACGGCTTCTTTAAATACCAAATGTGTTTTAGTATGTAAACTCTAATATCTCTTATACATTTTAAGTTTATCCAACCTTTTTGGATCAAGAGTTGAGTTCTTAATATTCAGATATCACCAAATTCAGAAACACAAATTTTTTTTAAATAATTATTTTATTTAACTTTATTGATTTATTTTTTAATTTGACCAGAGTGAGAAAGCAAGCCACCAGGTCCAGGACTCAAACTGCAGTCAGCCATGTAGGAGTCCAGCATCCTTAACCACCACGCCATCTGCCAGCCCATCACCAAACATTTTTTTCTTAAGAGGTTTTTGCCTTAGGGCACATGTGCTCACCAGATAGATAGACAGAGATGGTGAGACAGAAAGTGAATCACCCCACAAGGGGAATGGCCACACTGCAATCCCTTCTCCTCTGGCATCTTTGACAAGCATGCACATGCACTCAATGAAATTTTTTTAAAACGTCAGTCTGGGATATGAACTGCAGTCGGCCATGTGAGAGTCCTGTGATATATCCGCTATATGCCATCTCCTCCTCCTCCTTCTCCTCCTCCTCCTCCTCTTCTTCTTCGAGATGTTTTTGCTGTGGGATGTATGTGCTCGCCAGAAAGACAGATACAGACAAAGAGACAGAAAGTGAGAAATCACCCCCCAGGGGGGATGATCATACCTCAATCCCTTCTCCTCCATTCTCCTCTTGGGATCTTGGGCATGCAGGCACACGCGCCCAGTGTGAGTTTAAGCCACCAGGTCCAGGCCTTGAACCGCGGTCGACTACATGGGAGTCTAGTGATATAGCCATTATGCCAACTGCTGGTCCCATAACCACTATGCCATCTGCTGGCCCCCAACACCAAACATTTCTTAGGTCCCATAATCTTGTAACCAATAATCTACAATAGTAGCCTTCATGACAGGAAGGAAGATATCAGTCTATAAAACAACGTTTTACTTAAAAATTTCGAAAAGAACATAGCATTCTTTGCTGGGAGGATATACTTGTAAAGTGAAAACACTTGTTGTTATACTCAGCTTTGAATGCTATTTAAAAGCTTCCCTGAGAATGTTAAAGAAGACATAACATGCTGGGTGCATGTGTGCCCCAGATCCTGACAGGATGACAAAATGGAGGAAAAGGATTGCAGAGTGATCAAGCTCAACTGGGGGTTGCTTTCTCTCTGTCTTTCTCCCTAGTGAGCACATGTGCCCTCCTGCAATTAAAAAAATAATAATAAAATAAATATAATCAGCTGTCTAGAGATTTTTTAGAAATTTCAGCATTTGGGACCAGTAGATGGCATAATGGTTACCTCACTGGACATATTCTACTGCAGCTCAAGTCCCAGACTGGCAGCTTAAAACAGGGGGCATGTGCGTGCATACCCAAGATATCAAGAGGAGGATGGAGAAGGGATTGTGGCATGGTCATCTCCTCCTGGGAGTGATTTCTTGCTTTCTGTCTCTGTTTCTCCAGTGAGGGCATATGCCCTATAGCAAAAACCTCTCTAAAAAAAAAAATAATAATAATCTCAGCATTTAACATTAAAGCTAAAAAAATACATGTTAAAAGGTTACCCATACCTATGTCAATGTAATTTTTTTTTTTTGAGATTTTCACTATAGGGTGCGTGTGCTTGCCAGACAGACAGAGAGAGACATAGAGACAGAAAGTGAGAAATCACCCCCCAGGGGGGATGGTCACGCCACAATCCCTTCTCCTCCATTCTCCTCTCGGGATCTTTGGCACGCACGCACAATGCGCCTGGTGTGAGTTTTAAGCCACCGGGTCCGGGACGTGAACCGCGGTCAACTGCATGGGAGTCCAGTGACATAGCCATTACGCTAACTGCTGGTTCCCAATGTAAAGTAATTTTTTAAAGAATTATTTATTTATTTAATTTGTTGTTATTATTTTTTAATTTGACCAGAGAGAAAAAGGAAAAGTGAGAAAGCCAGCCTCCTGGTCCAGGATTTGAGCTGTGGTCAGCCTTGTGGGAGTCCAGCACCTTAATCACCATGCCATCAGCCATGCCCCCAATCTAACATAATTTTATTTAATACTATATAATGTATATAACATGTGATTATATAAAGCTGAAGATATGTGATACATGTATGTAATTTATGCTTCATGAAATGTTTTATAACTGTTTTATCTAGGGCCCCAAAGGAGATCCAGGATTTTCCCCAGGTCAAGCTGTTTCTGGAGAAAAGGTAATAACTTTTCCATGAAATAACATCATGCTCATATATTTTAAGCATTTGAAAATCATTTTTATCTCTTTAAAATGCAGATTTTGCTACATCAAAGAAGTTTTCAGAGAACTAGTACATTTCAATAAATGAATACATATTTGAAGAATTAGGAAAATTATACTATCATCTAATTTATTGGTTTAAGTCCTAACATTTATTTTACTGTCTACTGTGGCTTGCCATTGGGCTACTTCCTCATTAGGGGTTGTGGGGTAATAAATTAAAGCAGATGATGCAGTCTTCACCTCAAAAATTTTGCAGTTAAAATACACACATGTACAATAATACATACATTCCAGTGCCAGTTTACACATTTGTATAATAGTTCCACAATAATTACTTGTCAGAGAAGTAGTCATTATTATCTTGTTTTCTTGAGGAAACAGAATTCATAGACTTAAAAGGCTCATCACATGGATAGTAGCAGATTTGATGATATATCCACATTTTCTTTTAATCCAGCATGTTTTTCATTTCATCATAGTGCTCTCAAATACACACACTTAGGGAAACTAAACTAAGTAAAATCTTCATTGGGAGGAAGATGCTGTTTTTTAGTGAGGACAAATACAAACGGAGTCTTTAGGAGAACATCTAGGAAACTTTGTTTAGACAAACACTTGATAAATGTAATTACACATACAGGATTTTTCTGTTTAGGTGGTGTACATTTCATTAACTTTAAGAATTCCTGAGCAATGTTGGTAGTTCCTGGATTGAAATATGATCTTTCCATTGGGTTACTGAAACTCTTACGAACATAAAAAAAAGATATAGATATTATACTAATGAATAAATCTCAAAAACAATTTTATACAGAGTTTTAGAAATGGAACTGGTTCACTGAGTAAACAATTTAGAAAGAAAAGGGAAGCTTATTACCAGAAACGAACCTTTTCACTGGTTTCTTAACTATGTAAACCAAACTTTTTAAAAAAAACCTTCAATTTGAAAAACATAAATGCCAATTTTTTCTTTTCTTTTTCTCCAGAGTGTGAGGGCATGTGTACTTACTGGAAAGAGGCACAGAGACAGAGAGGAAATAAGAAAGCACTCCCTGTGAGACATGATCACATTCAGTCCCTTCTGCCTTTCTCCTTCCTTTCAGGATTTTAGCCACACACACCACAAAGGCCCCAGTGATTCTCAAGCTACAGGTCGGGAACTTGAACAACCTGTCAGCGATGTGGGATCTAACTGCTTTACTCACCATGTTGGGTTGACCCCATAAGTGCCATCTTTTAAAATATCTAAATAAAGTTTAGATATTTTGGTTTTACCAAAACCCACTTTGTTTTGGTGACTGCTCTAAACAAAACCCCTACATTAAACATTTACATTTACATCAAATGCTGGATTTTATCTTTCATTGTGGCTTCTCTATATAAAATGTAGAGTGGTTCAGTATGGGAGTTGTGCTTGGAGGTGTGTCAGTCTTTTTTTACCTTCGAGTTACTTTCATATACTAATTATGGTAATAAGAGAAATTTAATGAGATATAGAATTTAATATAGCAAGTTGTCATTGAGCTTGAGGCAAATGCTAATGTTCAAAATTGAGAGATGTGTTTCTAAAATGATAAAAACAATCTCTTAGAAATTCTGTTTATATTAAATTGGGTTCAAATATACTGAGGAGATAGGAGATTAAACACATGCAATGTGAATATGAATAAAAACCAAACAGTCCTTCCTATATAACATCTACCAAGTAACATAAATAATAGATCATTCACAAGTTTTTAAGTCCTTTTGAGACCTTAAGGGTATGCATAGTTTTTAGATGTTGTAATTTTTCCTTTCCCATAAAACAAGTGAGACATTATCATCATCATCATTCTCATTTTTCATATGAAGGAACTTCAAGAGGAATTAGATGATTCATCCATGATTAAATTTAGTGGAAGTACATCATTCTCCCATCTCTTGAAGCAGTTTTCTTTTTTAACAGAGTAATATATCTACAATATAGTATATGAAATAATAATATATAATACAGGTCATATACCATAAATATACATATGTATAATTGTTTATATAATATATACTATTATATATAATATATACTATATATGTAATCATTACTATGTTACAGATATTGCTGTAGATATATATCCTGTATAAACTGGTCATCCTATCACAAATGGAAGCCATTTTAATAAAATTTTGGAGATAGACATTAAAATATTAGAATAAATGGGATAGCACTCCATTTTTAATAATGAGAATCATCCTTTTCTCTTTCAAATATTTAATATGACGACAGATTAAAGTAGATGGTACATTAAAAACTAAACAGGGGGCACCAGCAGGTGGTGTGATGGTTAAGGCACTGGATTCCCATGTGACCGACCATACTTCGAGTCTGAGACTTGGTGGATTGAAAATCACAGTGGACGTGTGTATATGTGTGCCCAATAATCCAAGAGGAGAATGGCAGAGAGGGACTGTGTTGTGGTCATCCCTCCTAGGGAGTGATTTCTCATTCTCCCTCTCACCATCTCTCTCTGTCTCTCTAGCAATCACATGTGCCCTATGGCAAAAAAAAAAAAAAAAAAAAAAAAAGAAAGAAAGAAAAAGAAAACCCAGAACTAGAAATAAGTAAATGGGCCAGTAGGTCTTCCAAGTCATGCCCCCGGCATGTGTGTGGGTTCCCGAAGTCCGAGTAGAAGCAATTACGTTGTCATCCTGCCTACTGAGCGAGTTCTCACTTTCCCTCAGTCTCTGGCCAGCACATGCCTCATGGCAAAAACCTTAAAACAAAACAACAAAACCCAGAAAACTAAATAGAACATAAACAGTTACTAAAGAGTTCATTTAAGATTATGCCCTAAATACTTGTCTTTTTCTTTCAAACCCATTTTTTCCCACGCACACTGAATGTTACACTGGAAAGAAGAACGAAAAGGAGATAGAGAAAAAGTGTACCTTGAGTAAACTGTCTCAAGGTCCATGTTTCCATCTCTACTTTCTCTCCAACTCTTCTGGATGTACTTTTTTCCCGTCAATTCATACAACCTCTTTTGGGTCTCTGTCATTTCCACCCACCACAGACACTCCCTCCGTCACCTCTGGTGTACTTTCTCTGTCCTCCCCCAAGATGGGCTTGTGGGTTCCCAAGAGGGAGGGAAAGACTGCCTGTCCCTAATTAGTGAAATCTATTGCAGTGTGCTGCCCCAAACACAGATCTCCTAACACATTGCTGCCGCACTTACTCCGGGAGGAGTGTCTGTGGAGCACAGGGCTAGGCACTGGGCGCGCCCCGGAAGAGGAAGTGGCTCTTGTCCGGTGCTTCAGGTGAACCCGGCCGAGCACTCCCGCTCTTGACTTATGCCTGGGAGTCCCACGAGGCCACAGGTCCTCACAGAGAAGAGGCTGGGGTGAGCGCCCCTCGCCGCCTCACAAAACACTTGTAGAATTTTAGAAGAAACTCCCGTAGATTGCTATTGTAAGCACGAGAGACCTTGGCTTGATGAGAATATGGAGTTTACAGGTATCCCTAGAGAAAAGAAAATATAAGAAGAAAAGGAGCAAGGGCTTGGAGGTAGGAGAATCCAGTCCAAGTATCCAGCACTGGGGCTGGGATCATCAGGTAAGGGCTCAGAGGGTTCGGAAGCCAGATGGAACTGGAGCCGAATTGCGAGTATAGGAATAAAATGTAGTAAAGGCTTGACGTACAGAACTAAGGTGATCTCTAATTTTCAATTTTCTTTTGTGCCGTTAAACCTTTGTGTTTTATTTCTAGGGTGATCGAGGCCTTTCTGGGTTAATAGGTCCCCCTGGTATACAAGGTGATAAGGTAAGATATAGTTTTACTTTGACATAATTGGATGTCATATAAACCTGGAAGCCCTTCAACTACTATTAATTCATTTTGAAAATGAACCCCAAACCAATGTTTTAAAGTCATTTTCTCAGAAAAAGGAAATTAAGGTGCTGTCCTAATCCAGGAAAAAGATAACCCACAACAGGCAGGATCCTATGAAAAATAAAAAAACGGCCACAGAATTCATATGTAGGAATAAGTCAAAGTTGCTTATAGACTACCAAGAGTACCTTTTTAATTATATTAGAGTAGGGCAGTGATGTACGTCTGAGAATTTGAAGTAAATTTTATAATTTATATATACCCACAGTGATATTCATTGGTTTATAGGTAGTACACTTGGAGAGAAAGAGACAGAGAGACAGAAAGCAAGAAATCACTCACAAGGAGGGATAGCCACGAAGCAATCCCTTTCTCCCCCATTCTTCTGTTGGGATTTTGGGCACACACACATGTGCCCAGCATGAATTTTAAGCTCCTGGGTCCGCGATTTGAACTGAGGTTCACTATATAGGAGTCCAGCGACATAACCATTATGCCATCTGCTGTTCACCACTTGGATTTTTTTAAGGAGTTCTTATTTTATTGAAAAGTAATATTCTGTGCCATAATGTATATACATAAAAATATGAGTCTTGAATGGTAGGGTGGAAATGAGGATTGGGGCTAGCTAATAAAAAATATAGTCATTTGCATATGACTAGGCTTTTTCTAAGGTAGAAAGGAGTACTGATGCAACTATTTCATAAACTATGCTGTGCAATTTCCTGGATTAACACAAAGTAAATTACCCTCTCTGTTCAGCTTGATTTTTTTTTTTTCTCTAACATTAAGTTGTTGATGTCCTACAGAGAATGAAGGAGACACAAAATTTTTCTAAGGTATTTAGAGCCCCCAAATACTATAAGGCAATATCTGACTTGATATGGATATATAAATAGAAATAATACTAAGTTTTGTTGGTGTCTTGGTGTGTCATATTCCTTTTCTCTTCAGAGATTTAGGTGGTATTCAGGCTGTGATTGCTTGGTTCAAATCTATCTACCATTGTCTAGGTTCCAACAGCTTTGAGTAGGTTGCTTAATCTCTGAACTTTTATTACTTCATCTGTAAGATGTAAAGATAATACTCCCAATTTCATAGAGAATTTGGGGAAAGATAAAATGAGATAATCAGTACCACACAGTGTCATGTAGCCCTTAGTAATTGTTAACCAAAAGCTTTTTATCTGGTTTTGGAAAGAATCCTGACTTCTTTTGCTTTCCTTCATCACTCCTGTTAAAGAGCTAAATTGTAAAATGATGAAAAAGGTTTTGATCATTAGAGTATTTTTTCTTCAATGATCAAACCATTGTTTTTATGGCCTTCAGACTAATTTTCATCCTAGACAGTGATTACAGTCTGATAACTCTCTTGCCATTGTTGATTCCCTCCATGGAAACATGAAACTACAGAGGGAACACTTTTAAATAGAACTAGTCTTGAGATACAGTTGTGAATCGGTTTGTTAAATACTAGTAATTATACCTCTTACTATTAATATACCTTTAGGAAATTGTACCATGTAGCATCAGAGAAAGCTCTCATAGATATCTCATAGATATTTGAGATTACATGTACAGTCATTATATCCTAAACAATGGCACTGCATATGAGAGAAAAGTAAACTAAGCTTTACTTTCTGCAGTTAATAATACCTGTGGTTTATGAAATTAGCAATCTAGATAGGCAGATCATAAGCTGAATGTAGTTTTTGTGTAGAGATTATATAATATGCTTTCTCTGGGAAGAAATATTACAGATAAAAGGAAAAAAGACTCTGGGGCCAGAGATGGCACAGCAATAAAATGTCATGTTCTAAGGGCATACTTACACAGGAAGTTTGCTGGTTCTCATCTAGAGACCTGCCTGAATATGCTGGGCATGTGTGTGTGTCCGTGATCCAGGTTGACTGAGGTTGGAGGTGGATCATAGTCAAGGCCCTGCCAGGGGTGCCGCACTTCTGTCTTTTTCTCTTATTCTTGAAATAAGTAAATAAACAAACTTGGAAGAAAGAAAGGGAGGTGGATAGAAAAAAAGAAAGAAAAGAAATACTTTAATTTTAACAATAGAGCAGATTGCCATTTTAACTTTCGAGATGTATTTACTTAAAGTAGGAGATACTAATTTTCAAAGGCCTGCATACATTTTATATGCCTCATCAGTATTTTCAAATATTAAAAAAATACATTTTTTTCTTTTTGAGTCTAATAAAGTGAAATAACAGCTTTTTTTTTTAATATTTTTTACCACCAGAGGACATGTATGTGCATGTGTGTGCATACAAAAAAGAGAAAGTAACCCCCAATAGAGGTTCCTTGTTAAAGAGCTTTTTAATTAAAAAATATATAAATTTTTTTCTTCAATGAACAAGAGAGACAGAGAAATAAACAGGCATCCCCTTGACAACATACTCTCATCAAGCCACAGTTCACCCCTAGTCTCAGCCCAGATCACAGATATGCATGCACTTGGCATACCCAGAGAGGTCCTGGGATGTAAGTCCAGGACCTTTCACATATGGGGATTGGGAGTTTAGTCTCAACCTCCCTTCCTCTATTTCTCTATCCAATCAGGATTTGGAGCATACACATACCTACAAACATACCCATATGTATCTGGTATGTGTTTCAACCCTTTGGGATCAGAATTCAAACTGTGGTCAGCCATGTAGGATCTGGCTCCCTGTGTTCAGGATTTAACTGTGTTATGAGGTTGGCCCTAACAGCATTATATTAAACAAATCAAGCCATGAATTGGATGTCTTTTGTCGATTTCTTTTTCTCTCATATGATTTTTAAACCTTTTAAAACTGGCTTACATTATTAACTTATAAAATCAATGACTTTGATATATTATCAATTAGCAGCTGTTGTATAATTTTACCTAGAGAAAGCTTAGTTGAAAGTATTTAGAAACCTAAATTATTTTCTGATAAATGAAGCATTCATGGTTTACCATGGTTTGATACTAATTCAGAACAGTGTCAAAGTATTTGAGGTAATTTTATAGTATTTTCTTTTGTAAAGATTTGTCAGAGGGTACATGTACTCTACAGAGAGAGACAGAAAGAGAGAGAGGGAGAAGGAAGAAGCATCCCCCAGTGGGGTGTGGTCTTACTTTCACTTGAGTATACAGGAGAAACACATTTTAGCTATAACCTAGGGTCTCCTGTCCTTTCATGCTTGTAATTCTTTCCTAAAGTGCTAGATAAATTCTTATGATCAAGACAGAGTTGAAGTTATTCACCTTGTAAATGAGAAAATTAAAATAATCCCTGAGAGCTTAGGAGAATTGCTCAGAGTTACTTAGAGAGTTATGACAGGCAAAAGAGAAAGCTCATAATATACTGTTTTTTTCATCTATTTGGTGCATAGTATAAGACATGAATAAGATACTTAGTTTTGATGAATATAAAGTAATTTTATGTTTTTATCTGTTAAGGCATTTTATGAGATATTATTGTAATAATTACTTCTTATATTAAAAACAACTATTTTATTATGTGCAACATCTAGTCCCTCTGCTGAGCAGTTTCTTTAGTCTTAAAGACAACCCATTGAAGGGGCCATCAGGTGGCATGGGGGTGAAAGCACTGGACTCCCTCATGGCCTATCACACTTTGAGTCCCAGACACAGTGCTTGAAACTTATAATGGATGAATGTGCATGTGTGCCCAAAATCATGAGAGGAGATTGGAGGAGAAGGGATTATGGCATGGGCATCCCTGAGAGGGGTAATTTCTCATTTTCTTTCTGTCTCTTCCTGGTGAGTGTACATGCCCTATGGCAAAAAATCTGAAAAAAAAATTTAGGAAGATTCTAGTTCAGTATATCATAAATAAGTTAATTGAGGTATACAAGAATTAAGTCATTTACTTAAAGCCACACACAACATTTTTTGTTTGATTGATTGATTCTTTGCTAGAGAGTATTCATGCTTGCCAGAGAGAAAGAGAGAAAAAGGAAAAATCACCTTCCATGGGAAATAGTCATTCCCCAATCCTTTCTTCTTCATTTTCTCTTTCCTTTCAGAATTTTGGGCATCTTCACACATTCAGTTGTCTTTCTCAAGCCGTCTGGGCCAGGACTGTGCTGTACAGTAGACCATATTAGATCCCTCTGCCTTAATCACCAGGCCGCAGAGCCGTCCAGCCCACACACAACTATTAATTGGCAGAACGAAGCCTCAAATCCAAGCCTGTTTAATGCTTATGACTATGCCGTTAATAACTTTGGATACCGCTTCCTTGTTAATTAATCCCTGTTGAGTCAAAATTTGTGAGATACTGGTATTTCAGTACTTCTGACTATCTCTGGCATGTATGTCAGAGAAAGTAAAATACTGTTTTTCATGAAAACCCAGGGAGCAGATACAGTTTTGGATGACAGATAATGATGACTTCATTATTTTTCTCTGAAAACTATCTGGAAATATTAAAATTCTTCTAATATAAACCAAACCCAGGAAGTCTTTAAAGCTAAAGTGGCTGTAAGAAATTGTGTGGAACACACTAATGACTCATGAAAATTTTTGAAATAAACAAACAGAAGATTTTAGGAAAAATGTTTAAGAAATGAGACGTAACATTGAGACAAATAATAAAGCAAGGAAATCAGCAGAAATATATCCTTCCCGTGTCTATAGATTTTCTGGTTTTCTTTTTTATTCTTCCTTCTTTTATTCCCACCATTATTTGTTAGGACCAGTATTAACATCTTTAACAGTGAGGCCAGGCAATGACACAATTTTAACCCAACTGGACCTATATGTGAAAGGTCCTGGACTTACATCCCAGGACCTCTCTGGGTATGCCAAGTGCATGCATATCTATGATCTGGGCTGAGACTAGAGGTGAACTGTGGCTTGATGACAGTATGTTGTCAAGGGGATGGCTGTTTCTCTCTCTCTCTCTCTTGCTCATTAAAGAAATG